GTGTGTTTTGATAGAGCTGTTTGGTAGAAGATGTTGCAGTGCTAAGTCTGTAAGAGCATCTGTTTTTCAAACTCTCTGATGAAAGCCCTGTGTCTCTTGGCTATTTTACAGGAGATTGTGAGGATGGTCTCCTGACACTAACTTTCTGTGGTCTCCATACATGGACCCCAATTCTGTGCTTTGCAGCTGTTTTAGTCTTGTGCATGAGTAGCTTCACTCTGGCTTCATGATCAGGTAAAACACCCACTGTGTTTGTCTATGTGCCTTAAGACGCAGTTGAAACACAAAAAAAAAATCAAAGACTTACATACCACATTTGTCTCTGATTGATGTGGTCTCCATTCTTCACTGCTCACGGTAAAGCCCTCTCCACACACCACTCCTGAGGCTACAGGTACTTTGCCGTATCGCCATTTCAGCCCTTTCAGACAGCATGTGCATGAGAGTTGCGCATATCCACACTGAGTACCAAGGTATAATGTAAACATATACAAGCCCATTTTAAATGGAAAGCAGTCTCATTGTGGTAGCACTGAGGTCTGTGCAGATTAATCTGTCCTCTGAAAGAGGTAGTAACCCTAGTTTGTGTGTTATTTCCAGTGCAAGCATTTGGGTTTTGATCAAGCAATTCATGTACTTGAAGGGACTCTCCCCAATGTCTGCAGTGGGCTCTGGATTGGAACCGTAATCTAGGTGTCTCGCATGCATATACATCCTTAATTAAAATTTTCTAAATTGCTGTGACATGAGGAGGATCCCAAACCTCCTGTGAAGGGTTTCCAGTTAAGCCAGTGGAAAAAAAATGTACTTAATATCTTACCATCACAGGTAGCATGGATTACAGCAATTTTCTGTACTGAGTATTCAGAAGACAGGTGAATTATTGGTACACTGAAAAGACTACATAATGTCCTGACTTTTGTATGCTTGCAGTTTGCAAACAAAGCTGCTTTACTGTAATTTTGCCACATGACACACTTATATACTCAGAAAGTTATGATCAGCTTTAAAAACAGGCTTAGAATGAATATATATATGTGAATAATATAGCAAGTGCTTCTACTGTAATTATATTAACTCAGTTTGCTAGGAATATTTTTTAATAATACAATAGATTGCTACACCTTTTTACCAAGAAGAAATGCATCCTGTGACAGCTGCCCATCACTAGCCACAGAATCATTTTACACTGACCTGTATGAAAAAGCCGAAGGAGACCTCAGTCAAATCCCTTCTGTTGTACAGCAAAAGCAGTCATTCAAGATTTTAACTCATTTTTATTTTTTTTTTCAGCACGAAATACCAGTCTGTTCTCATAGAAAGTGCTCTGACTTGGATTTATGTGGCCTGCTTTTTGTTCCTGGCTCTGTCTCTGAGTAACCTTATGAAAGCCATTTTAATCACCTGTTGTTTTCAAATGGGCAGAAAGATTTTTCCTTGCAGAATGGGCCAAACGTAGGCACATGTTTCCATTATCCCACCTCAGAAACCTGTCCATGAGGAAGCTGCACACCTGTACACATACAAATGCCAGTCAAGTGCTTGCCTCAAATAATCTGCTCTGCCTCTCTCCTCTCTGTTCTCTCTCTTGTTCTTTATAGCACGAGGGATTCACAGTGGAGTGCCTAAATAATGTTCTTTAAATATACATAACTTGAAAAGCCTAATTACATATACACATTTCTGCTCTGGTAGGCTGAGGTGATTTCTGAAAGCAAATGCAGCATGGACAAAAGTGAGCTTCCCAAAATATTTATGGGCTTACTGTACTGCTACACCCAATAGATGATAAATATTTGCTGGAAAACTGCCTTCCCCTTTAGCAGTGTAACTGTCAGACAACAGTTCATACACAGCAATACAAAGTCATAACTTGGAAGATAATATTTTATATGATCCTAACAATATGCTCTGAAATCCTACATTTAAAATGGTTTAAAACCACACAATTCCCCAAACCATCAAATAAGCAGTAAAAGTAACATGCAGAGCCAGACACAAAACTAGACTGAAAAAGATTTTTTATTATTCTCCTCTGAATTACCATAAATGACATGCTATATTTAATTTTACAGTGCCCCTGGACAAATCATCAAATACTTTAATAACTACACAAACATTAATATTTAAATACAAGAGATCCCCTCAGTTACTGAATAATCATAACTCTGGATTGATAGGGTACTAAATGGAAAAATCTTGTTTAGACAGTTGTAAGAGGGGGGAGGGTGTTTAATGAAACAAGTTTGATGGTCTTGTCATCATAAAACTGATAGATATTTGGCACAATTTATATCTTTGCTGAAAAGAAGTTTGAGAAATGGAACAATTGTGGTGAAGATTAATTTTCCCTTCTTCTGCTGGGAAAGCACAGTCCTTAAGGTCATTAGCAGGAATGGGTAACACAGATTGCACCTTACCCATGCAAGCCCTGTGCTGACTCTTGGAAAATGCACTTGTTAAAGACCTGCAACTTCTGTACTTGTAGGATGGGCTGCCCAACTATCATCACAGCTAGCTAGACTCATTTTATGAGAGTGATGAATATAGATGGTAGGAGAGACAGCATACAGAGTTCTGACTGTCAGTGTTGTTAGACCTGCCCGCTCGTTCCACCCACTGTCATTAGTGGGCTTTTTTTTTAATCGAGATTTTGTATTGTTACCTCAGCCACTCTCCCAATTACATGTTCTTCCTAATAATGCAAGTTCAACTACTAAAACACAGTGAGAATAGTAAACTGCAAGATATTTCTGATCCCTCCAGCACCACAAAAGAACACCCCTTCCCTCTCCCCCCAAAAAGACCTGAAAGACTTTTAAATCAAACTCAGCCACATAAATGTCTAAACCAAAAGTCTGAAACTTTGCTAGATTTCTAGGTCTCCAGAGCTGGGACTATGTTCATGCATGTGTACTGCATGTCACTAAGCACACAGGACACTAAGCTAATGCTAACATTTATTCAATACTGGACAAAAGTCAGGCTTTTATTTGTCTCATATCATTTTACTGGGGTGCCATAGCATTTGTAGCTAAATGAAATGCTTATGCACTGGGAGGTGGGCTGCATTTGCTTACCGGTTCCTTATATTGTTTGATTTCATGCCTTGTTCCAGGAGAGACCGTCTCTGAAACTTACCTAAAATTTTCTTTTCCATTTCGGGGCACCTGCTCAGACTCTGCATTTACATAACAGCTTCCAGGGAACAGAAAGTGGGGAACTGGCATAGAGACATGAGGCCTCTGAATAATAAAGGACATGGCCTGTGGGCTGGTAGACCCTGGAAGCAATGCCACTGGAGTACTCCTCCAGATGTGAACAGCTGACAGACCTAACAATGAAGGCTGCATCCAGGCCAGTTACGATGAACTAATTCAATATCCTGCTCCATTTTATAAAGGAAGCATGGAAGAATCCAGAGCTGTCTCTAAATCATATAAGCAGTACCCTGCCAAGCTTGTACAGTGGTACAAAAGATGAGCAGAATAAAAAGACAATAGGGCAAAGCTAAAGGACAAAGACTGATGGAAGTTTCTGTGCTAGGAAAAAATGGGTGTTGTCACCACATCCAGATGAAAAAACAAAACCCTATGGGAACTCCAAAGCTACAGACCTGGAATCACAGCAAAGAAGATTAAAACAGTGTAAGAAGTTAGCATAAACAGTGCTGCACAGAGCTAGGCAAATCTTTAAATAAGTAATTAATTGTTTCTGTCTTGGCTTTATATGAGTAATCATAATTTGTCATTAAGTTCTTGTAACTTCATTTATATTTTCTTGTTAGGAGATAGCCATAAAACAAGAAGTTGGAACTGAGTTCTTAAGAAAAGGGCTGATTACTACCTGAGACTGACTGTGGGCTTGGGCTGCCTCCACCTCTGCTGCTGCAGTAGTAATGCGTGCTCCCTTGAGAGGACAGATTTAGCCACTGAACTCAACCTCTTTTTCAGGAGAAGAAAATGTAAAGAGACAGCAGTTTCCAGCAATAAAATAAAAAACAAAACCAACATAAAATGTTTGTGCCCAACTCATCTCTCTCTCCATTGTTTCATCTTTTCTTGAAATGGACAACCCATGCCCATCGATGAGATTTTGAGCTGTTCATGATTATCTGTAGCACTTGAGAGAAAAGCTGATTTCACTTACATGTGAACAAGAGAAAATAAGTTCTTGCCTTTTTACTTCACTCCAAAAATCTTCCTTAAACATGTCTAGAAACTAGAAATATATTCTTGTAGATGACTCTCATTTGAAGACATTGAAACTCCGGTGAGGAATGCAATTCTACAAAACCGTATTACTTCATGTAAAAACTGTGAATGCAATGCACTGGAATGAGTAATTGAACTCCCCAAACTGCTGTGGGATTTCTGCCTTTCCCTGTATGCACATGGGTGTTTGCATTTTTGCATAGACAGACAGCAACAGAAAGCCTCTGTAAAAGGATGTTTTAGTGAAGTCTTTCAATTTATTGTTAACAGTTTTTTTCTAGATGCATACACACTTTCCTCACTGCCAAGCATCCTCTTTCCAAGGCATCTTTCAAGAGCCACAATTTGAAGGTTAGAGTAGCTTTTCCATGTGTGCTAATTGCTTCCTATTCCTTGGCAGAAACAGACATAAGCAGCTATTTTGTGAAACTGTATTTTGATAAGCCAAAGTATTTTCTGGGGCTAGACATAGTCCCAAGGTATCCTGGAAACATGAATGAATCCTATGTGGACTAGAAATCATAAATGAAATGCTGGGAGAGTCTTCTGTTCACCAGTAATACAGCTCACAACAGAGGCACTACCTTTTTTGAGCCTTCTGCGAAATAAAAGGTACAGATGGTTGTCTATGCACATAACATCAGTGATGCCCAAAGCAAAGACACTACAAATATTTTACAGAGCTGTTATCACCAAATATGTACTCAGGAGGATACAGAAAGGCAGAAATTCACCTTAGGGTTATAGAAGATGGTCATGGCGCTCTATTTACCACTCTGTTGTCTCTTTATTTACCACTCTGTTGTCTCTTTGTTGCCAGAAAGCACAGATTATTGTTCTACAGCAGGTTTCCTTTATGTATTTTTTTCTAGAGCAGGCTGAATTTTACTGAAGATATCACTTTACACTGACAAAGTTATATTTAACTTTGCTAATGAAATGAATTGCTGGAACCAATTCTTAGATGAACCATCTTACATGAAAGCATCTTACATGAACTGCATGTGTGGTCAAAGTTTGGAAACAAAGTCACTGTGGAATGCAAAACTTACATATGCATATGCAGTGACTGAAATCTTATTGCTATAAGGCACATAAAATCTGGCCTCGTGAATTTAGCATCTTCCAAGTGGGATTCAGGGACACACCATGTATACTAGTTGTGCTTAGCCACACACTTTCGCAACTGAATCTGTAACTATAGCTTTTTCCAGTGAAAGTCTGTGATATTGCAGAAGACGGTAACCAAAGTTGTTATTTTTGCTTCACAGGAGGAACAAACTTAATTAAGATAACTGGTTGCTGAAGTATCAAGAAGTCAGTGCATACATTTGTTTCACTGTAAGACCAGGGCCTGACACCCTGCAGGCTAAACTAGCATCTTTACAGATGTGTCTGTAGATGCCTGTATCAGTTTGAAGAGCTCCAACAGTTGCTATTCTTGTGAGAGTCTCTACTTAAACTGCTGTAGCCATTCTAATTTTATGCTGCTGTTTGTTTCCTGGCCTGGCATTGTCTTTTAACACACATAAGTATTTTACCAGGACGTGATTTCTCTTGAGTTGTTTTCATTCAAGCTTTTTTTTCTGCTTTATCCTCTATTAAGCTACTACAATATGGTTTCATATTAATACAGAATGCAGATTTACTGTGTAACATTTCAGCATCCCATGTCAGGAAGGTGCATGTAAGTAAATTCCAGAGCTGCACAGCCTTGAAGGCTCTCTCCTGGAGCAAAGACAATATGTTTATTTAGGAACAGAAAAAATCTCTGGGTTTATGTGCCAGTTGAACTGTCATCGGCACTGTCAGTTTCATCAGGTAGCTCTCATTGAAATATGACAGGAGTCTCTGTCATCACCTCGGTCAACAGAAATGCCACCAGGCTCTAGGGGACCTCCAACCCCATGCTCCAAGTAAACCAACAATATCCAATAGTTTTGGTTCTTGATGATTTTCTTCTTCCATATCTTGCTGGAATAGGCTGAAAATTAATGTGTTTCACTGGTGGATGTGATTACCCTGATCCTTCTGAAGCACATGATGACTTTCATATGTTTTAATAGCTGCTGTAAATATGCAGGCAAAGCAATGGTGTACTATGAATACAGAAAATAATCGAATCATCTGGTTTTGATGAAAGTGTGTAAAACTCTTAAGCACACTTAAAACACATGAGCCAAAAGTTGATTGAAAATATAAAGCAGCTTGTCCTCAGCAAATTTATGATTTACATCAGATTTAAATGCACCATAATACACTTGGGTCAGGTTGAGAGAGTTGGCTTTGAATATCTGGAATAATATGTAAGGTGCAGAAAAAATGTGCGTTCGCAGCAGATCTGCTCTGATGGAACAGCAGTAATAATGAGGCCTCAGATCTTTGAGCTCCTGGTGACATGAGAAGGATCCCAGGGGCTTAAAGATCCGCAGACACATGGCCCATTTTCCAAGACAGGTAACATGGATGCCTCTGAAAATCTCATCGAGAATGCTGATAGTTGTTGCAGGGGATGAATCCTCTTTCAGCTGGGTATCTCCTATGGCTGCAGAGAAACTGTGTTCATTGCTATGTTCATTTGCAGGGAGCTGTAGCTCTTTGAGCAAGCCTAGCATGTAAATGTCCTTGGGATGGGACTTTGTCCCACACCCCAGATCAAATATAAAGGAGACTTTACTATGGGTATAAAAGTGCAAGAATCACCAGGCTGACTCAGATTTCTGTGCTCCAATGACCTATCTCAGGTGGTGGCCGTAACCAAATAGCTCAAAGGAAGGTGTCAAAGCTGAAGGAGTTCACTTTCAGAGTTAAGACTGGATTAAAACCAGAAGCAAGGTTGAATTTGTTTTGTAAAGCTGTTGTTATCTCTGATAATTCTGGATAGTTTAGTCTCAGTGCTAAACTTGATAAATCCTTGGCATCAAGGACTTCCAGGAGTGAAAGGCTTCCACTAGATAATTATGGGTTACATGAAACCATTCCCTCATTAGCTTTGAATTTCTCACTTCTGAACTTCATTGCATGTCATTTTGTTCTTACATCACGATATAGGGAGAACAGAAATTCCTGACCTACTTTTTCTATTCTATTCACAATTTTGTATCATATAATCCTCTCCCTTCTTATTTGTCTAATTACTTAATTAAGAACTCATCCATTTACTCAGTTTCTCATCAGCTACTTTACTTAAAACCACAGCACTTATTTTCCTGGTGACTAAATTGTATGCTACAGACAGGAATAGGAAAAACTGAGGTGCTCACAGCTATTTGCGGGGGCAGGGAACTGATTCTATGATGTTTTGTCTTGTGTACTCTTCTACTAATGGTATGTTGAGCAAAAGTGCTTGCTGGTCCCAGGTCTACAAGATGTCTAGGTCCTGTTCTGAGCTTGTACCTCCCGTGAAAGCACAAAATCTACAATTAGATCCTGACATACAGCAGAACAAGATGAGAATTCTGTGCCTGCTTACATGACTTCATACAGAAACAGCAGATGCAACCTAGCCCTGCCAAAATAATGAAGGGACATTGACCATTTAGTACAAAATAAGATCTCTCAAAATGCCTTCTTCATGGTTGGGTTTTGTTTTGTTTTGTTTTGTTTTTTTGTTAAAGAAAAGAGCACATTTGGAATAAAAGTTTTTACTATAAGCCAAAATGTCTTTCCTGTCTCCAAAACACTTATCTAATAGGAATGAAGTAATGACACTAAACTTTTATCTCTTCAAGATAAAAATCACAAGTTGCATGGTTAGAACACCATTTTTTTAGATGGTACATGCAGTGGAGCTTGGCTACTCAGAGACTTGCTGTATTCTCAGTTATGTTACATTGAAGTGGAAGCACTGTGTGCTGAAGATTCAGGGCAGTGTAAGAGAAAACAGAATTAGGCCCTCATGAAATCTTAATGCATTGTGAAGCTTTCCAGCTCACATACATACCCCAGTGAGACTGGGAAAAACCTAGTTCAAAAAATGTCTAGCAGTGAGAGGATATGGTTCAGTTCTGCTGCAATCTAATGAAAGATGAACCAAACTTCTTAGAAATCTCATAGGATTTTTACCTCAGTTGTTATAGATAGGTATGTAGATGGTATACCTAAGCTGAACAAAAGAGGGAGGAAAAGTCTGGAATTAATTAAATGCCTTCTCTCAGAATAGCCTCATAAACCCCTTGTCTGATTAAAGCCCCTACAAAAATGCCTGCCTACTAAACAACTAAAAATAAAGTTAAACAAAAGGTGTTCTAAAGATGGCACCTTACAAGTGAGAGAATTTCCATAAGCTTTTGGCTTAGTTAACTGACAGCCTTTTCGGAATGGCAAATGCTTGCAGGCTCAGTTTTAGGACAGGTTGTTAGTTGCCCAAATTGACTTAATACTCCCAGAGGTTGCTTGAGTGTGTGGTTAAGGGCTTGCTGCTCAGACAGGCTACACAGAAACACTCAAAAGACCCTGCATGCTCTGCTTGATCCTTCTGATTTATTTATATGAATAAACCACAAGACCCAGACTATGCTCTTCAGACACTACTCATTTCTAGGTCATTCTGCACATTACAACACTTCCCTTACGACCACCAAACAAATTAATATTAGCATAGATATGCAAGACTGTTGCTTTTGTTAAAAGCACCCAGTGTTGAGAGGGCTTTGGGATGTAAGCTTAGAAAATTAGGGTCCAGACCTGAAGGCTTTTTAGGAAGGGACAGTCATGGGCCTGGATGATATTATTGACTGGGAAATACTATACTGACAGCGTGACTACAGTAAAATTGAATCTCATGTTTATGCTGGTGGACATGATGGGGAGGGATTACACCATCATTCCTTCATGTAATGACATTGTGAAGGGTGGAACACAGATGAGTTGGGCTTGGGCCAGTGGATGCTCCAGGAACTGCCTACTGATGTGCAGAAAGGATGGGGCATGTTCGACAATCAGTTTTTAGTGCTTTGAAGTTAACCATTACTTGTAGTCACACTGCATGGCTCTGTCAGCAGTGGACAGGTAAAGAAATACAAGTGTGTCAAGTTTCTCTGTCTCCCATATGCATTATCTTCCCTTTGGTATGAGTGGGAGTGAACCAAAAGTAGTCATGAGATGAACTAATTTCCTTTACAGGCTTGAATTCAACTTCCTAAATTAATCTAATACACAAGTTGCTTTGTCTTCACTACTTTTTTAACTTAATTTAGCTTAACTCTGGCTAGCTCACAAAGATACCAACACAGATTCTTATTTATTGACTGTGATGTGCATCCCTACCATTTTTTTTTTTAACCTCAGTTTGGTGGCTTACCAGCTATAAATAGGGCTCTTGATATTTGATACTGGCTACTATTATTTTTCCAGTGACAAAAAGAGACCGACCACTTCCCATGTACCAGTACAAGGTTTTATGCAGGCAAATCCTGAGTTAGCCCACAATTATTTTATTTCTTTTTCCCCAGTAACAGGTATTAACTACCATCTTCTACAGCCTTTTCCTCTTTTCAAAGAAAGAAGGGTTGTATTCCTACCTGAGACAGCTGGGCAAGTCTGAGTGGAACTGATCATTCCCTCTTTCTGAACTGGATAAAGATGGTGCCCAATCAGGTAGGTTTTGAAGAGCTCTGAGTCAGCAAATCCTCAGCGGCTGAATGTTCTGTAGCAGGACCAGGAATCAAGAGTTAAACATGGCAAGCAGGAAGACAAATATCTCAGGATATGAGCAGTCATTTCTTCTCTAAAAGGGGCATGGTATCCAAGGAGGAAAACCTAGGAAGGATTTTGTCTTGCCTCCACATGCACTAAGTGAGGCATAGGTATGAAATATCCCTGATGAGAAGCTAAGCAGCATATGAGGAATAAGAAATGAGAAGTGTCACCTCTGGATGAGTGTGCCAGTGGTAAGGAGGTAATCACAGAGAAATGATTAAACTGGAGACTGCTCTTGAAGAAGGACTGACCCATTGCCATGTGTCCAGCTCTCTGTGATGGTGCTCATAGGAATAACTGGAAGAGGCTGCTTTAAACCAGCCAGTGAATGCTAGGCCACGTGCTTGCTGTTCTACGATAGCCAGACATCCGCTATCTTCCATGGAGCTCCACGCCACAGGTCACTTCCCAATTGTCAGTGTCCTCCAGCTGCTCTCATTTCACAGACTCCACTATGAAATTGCTCCAGTAAGGCACTAGAACTGCAGATGCCCTTGGCATTTGGAGGAGACATCTGCAGCGTTTGATTTTCTTTTGCTTCCCTCTGCTTCCCTGCCCTGTTGTCCCTGGATCCTGCCTTTACTTCTTTCTTGGTCCTGTCCTTGTACCAGCTGCTTTGGCCAAAATGCTCTGATTGTCACTGAAAACCCTCTCCTTATATGCTGAACATCTCTGTATGAGCAGACCTCATTATCATGTGGCAAGAGGTCATTTACATATGCAAATCAGGTTAATGAGAGCAGAACTGTAAAAGGCTCCATTCCAGAGGCATTTGCATATCTAGCTTTAGAAATAGTTGAGTGCTCTGCCCCTAGCTGTGCAACCAGGACACAGAAGCCCTGGCAGTATGTCTTCAGTTGTGATTATATCCACAGACAGCTGCCATCCTGGTTTGCACCAGCTACTGTCTGAGGTATTGGTTCATTTGAACACAGGGTAGTTGTGTAATGTGCGCTTCTGCACCAGACTACTAAGAAGCAGTCAAGCCTTGGCCCTTACTGGGGTAACATGCAGGCTTCTGACAGGTAGATATATGCAATTTAGCATGATGAATACAATTTCCTATGGTGCTGTCACTAATGCATGCCCAGTATATAATGAATGAGGAAAACAATGCAGGTACCAGGCACGGCTCTCTAGAAAGAATATATTCTGGGTGACACAGCACCACACCAAATACTAACTGGGCCTCCAGCCCCCCCAGAGTACAATGAAGGCTCTCTTTTGGATGTTTGCAAATCACCCATGATAGAGCCCCAGTTCCCTCCTCAGCCATGGACAGAATAGGCAGCCCCCTGTCCTTCTCTTAAATGGGTTCCAGACAACCCTGTTAGGTGCCTTTCAAGTGTCTAATTGTGAAGCAAATTGCACAGAGTTCTTCAGAAGAAGCATCTTTGGCTGATTTTTTTTTTTTTCCCCAGCTGTTTTGTTTTCAGGAAGAAACACAAATGCTTTTTCACTATAAAGCTTTCTCAGGTATTGCTGCCAGAGACTTGTGTGCCTGGTTCCAGAGAGAAAAGGCAATTACCTCATAATTTCTGATAAAAGTTACTGATTTTCCTTTTGCTCCACCCAGTCCCCCTGACTAAGCTGAGCATGTTTCTGGCACATCCCAATGGCTAATATCATAAAAGGCACTCCTTCTTGAAGGAGGTAGTTCTCTGCTGTGACATACAGTCCTAAAACTTTCTATATGGCTGCCAGGCAAATGCCAGGTGTATGACACAGCCTCTACCACCTGTAAACAAAGGGAGGCTCTTACAGCTTCTCCAGAGCGATTGCTGTCCCTGTGCCCTCAGTCAGTAGGCAGAGCTCTGCACATCTCGCAGCCGGCCAAACACACAGTAATTCAGTGTGCTTAGCACATGGTTTTGGTGATGACCCTGTATGTATTAGGCTGGAATGAGTTGGGGTCTTTGCAAACCCCCAAAGCACAGGATCTAAAACAGAATACCCCATTATTCATGCTCTCATTTTATCTCTACCTCCATTCATTCTTGGACATTCCTGTCCTAATCCCATGTCTGCATGCATATATAGAGAATAATTTACCATAATTCAAATAACTGTGTCCAACAATTCAACAGTATGTCCAGTCTCATATGCTACTGTCCATGGATTTTCTCTCATTTGGTCTTGCACTTTTAATGCACTCTAATGCATCAGCATGGGTCAAATGCCACTGCACTAACTCCTTGGAGTCATTCCCGTATTGCAACACTTTGCCTGGAGCTATTCTCAGCAGCTCTAATATGACAGACAAGATAAACTATCTGTGTCTATAGAAGAAAAAATTGCACTTACATTTTTGTCTGTATTTCCTGGGACTGGGCTGGTTCCTCCTTTCAGCTGATGGCTATTGCAGAAGAACTGCTTCTGTCCATATACAAGTATACAGACACTGGCATTTGCTGCTTCATGACATATCACTGAATGGATACCACCACCATCTAATAAGCCATATTCTTTTTGCATGGTGTTGGTCTGCAGACTGAAGATGAGATTCTCGCACCTTGGAACAAAGTACAAATTTATCAGTGTGCATGAAAGACTGGATACCCCTCAAGTCCTGCGCCATACACCCTATGCACTCACATATCAGAGGTACAGCAACGCAGCTGAGCAACCTGTCTTAGTGATAGCACAGCTGGATGTGGTCATCACTTCATCACTGACTGCTCACAGCTATGAGAATCCCCTCTTGTCTGAGAACACTCAGGACTGAGCAAGCAGTCAGCATCCTTGCTGTGCCCTCTGACTGTCACCTTTGGAAGCTGATCCCTCAGAAAAGCATTCCATCACTTCAGAGCAGAACTGTCCTACACTGTTCAACAAACTCTGCCATACAGGTTTGCTAAGAGAGGAGAAAAGCAAAATGAAAATTGCTAAAATAAATACCTGTGGGGCTAACAAAAACTGATTTCTTGTTTCCATGTTTGAATTGTATTTTCAACTACGAAAATTCAACTTTAAGTATCTCAAACCTAGTGTCTTTGTTGTTTCTGGAGGAGTGTCTTTGTCCCCCTTCCATTACGCTCATATGTAAAGCTCCTCACACAGAATACAATTTACCTCCTTGTGTAGCATGAGATCAGAAGCCAGATATTCTGTTTAGTAAACGAGGGCTTAGGAGGTGTTCTGTTTTACATAAGCAATAGCCTAAAAGCAGCCAAACCAGAAAGGCAAAGACAACTTAATCACTTCTAGGAAAAGAGAGCAGCCCTCTCATTATCGTTCACTTGTTGGAAATACAGATATAGGCTTTTTTTTAGGTATTAAACAGTTTTTCACTTGACCGCTTTTCAGGTTGATAATATATCTTCCATATTTTGCTTAAAATCCAGCCCTTCATATTTTAAGAGCACTGAACTGATTTTATTGCCAATTCTGAAAAGTGTTAACAGGAGTAAATCACCCCTCAAATTACTGCTGTTGTTCCCTTGCCCTGAGCCAAATTCACTGCTAAGTACCTCTGACCACACAGCTCATATAAATGCTCATAATAGAGGAAGCCTCTCACATCTGCTTATTCTCACGATTAGAAAAAAAACACCTTACAAAAACCTATGATGTCACCGTAGTTTTTATGTATATATACACACATATATATTTGGTTATAGCTTACTTCTTCATGCTATATGCTCAATATTCAGCAGAAAAATTTAACTCAGATATGCAGATGCCAAAAAAAGTGCATAACATCAAAAAAAAAGAAAAAGAAAAAGAAAAAGAAAAGGAAACTAAAGCTATTTGGTGGTCTCAATTTTCATTGTGCACTACATTGTGGGAGAGCTTTTAAACTCTGGTATGGAGGAGCTTTATTAGAAACCAATTCTCCTCAGTGACCTCTGGAGGCCTAGTCCTATGCAAGAGCAAGCCAGATGCCAAAATGAAAGGGGAAACTCATTATACAGAGGTGTATTTCTGAGGTAAGAGGCAAACACAGTGAATTGCAGCAAGTAGGATTGCTAGTGATGAGTCTAAAATATTCGTGAAAGAAATGAAAGAAGTTACTTTTTTTTTCATCTTCTGTGTTAATTTCCCCTGTTTTATTCTACACTTGTAATGCCTCCCTTGGTTTTGTTTCCGCCTCTCCTATGATATACTGTTCCTTTCCTTCCATAATCTTTTGCTCTCCTGATGCCCCCTATTTCTCCTTCCTAATTCTCATCTCATTATAGTCTTTGTCCTGTTTTCCTCTTTCCCTCAGTTTCTTTCCCTCCTTTTTTTGCTCCCTCTGGCTTAGAGTGGCATAAGTTCATATAAAAGCTTAGCAATATAATGATGAACTTCAGAGAAAAAAGTGAAACGGCAAATGACTTTGTATTATATAAGCTGGAATTAGTAAGTGCTGTTACAGAATTCCAGCTCAACAGAAGAGCCATCATTTACTATCTGGAGAGCTCAGAGTTTCATTTCATTTACAGTGCTGCACTTTGCTCAGTCTTTGCTGATAGACTGGCAAAGCCAAAGCAACTTAGTTGAAAATGAAATGATTTCAGGAACTGTGAAATACTGTATGATATAACAGCCAACATAAACCCATCATTCTCTGTGTTTACATTGGTACTGATTCTTAACAGCATGCTGTTAATACAGCATAAAGCTCTGCTGCTCTAAAACAATTCAGGTACAAGGACAGCTCTTTACAGCCAATAATGCTCCATACCTATAAAGAATTACCAATCTAAACTTGCATGTAAGTTAATGCTGACCCCCTTGGCAGCTTAAATATAGATTGTGACCCACAGACTTACTCATCTCCCACTGCTGAGAGTTGTAACCCCACGATCACTACATGCACATCCTCACTATAACAGGAATCAATAGATGCTCTTATTATACACATTATCAAATCCAGTTGCTTGTCAATTAACCCAGTATGACATCTGCAAGGAGGATTTAAATAAGGAGCATAATATTATGCTGTGTGGTTGATACAGTGAAAAAGCAGGCTCTGACAAGGTTTACCATTTGGCCTGCTACCACAGCATCCATCTTCTGAGTGGAAGTTATTTATGCTCCCACTGAATTATGGCATGTATTCAAATACTAGCAAAGCTGCAGTGTACAAAAAATGTAACATCTACAGTATGCTGTGGCTGGATACAGCTCTTGGGGATATCTTGAAAGCATAATTCCTCCTTTAGGAGCATGTCTGTCTGTCCAGGACTTATGAGTGGATCCTTTTCATCTTAGACAAAAAGATGCTACTGAAAAAAGTACAGGAGTAGCAGATGTGCTCCTCAGCACATACATGTACTGTGGAAAGGGCACCTTTCACAGCACTGGCTAGACACAAGTTCTACTAATTGGAAAGAATCCTGACTTTTATAAAATAAAATGAGGTTCAGCTTTTTTCCCCCTCAGGAAAAACAAATGAGCTGATGAGCATAATGAAATGCAACATGTTGACAAATGAGTTGAATCTGGACACTGTAAGAAAACTAAGCTACTTTATAATTTAAAACAACAAAACTGCCCCCAATGTAATGAGATATCCCACATACAATCAGTGTGAGCACACGGAACAACTGTCCTCCCAGTTAATTTGACAGCAACAGCATTGGCTTCTTCAGCTGGAAAGACATCTCCTGCTTGAACTAACTGGTGATCTACAAATTCTGAGTGAGATGAAATCTCTCCAGAAGTTTGTAACAAGCGAGATAAAGTAAGCTTAAAGAGTTCCTGCTATGTTTAGCTCAAAATTTAGGCTCTGTGTCAAATACCTTGTTACCGACTTAACTGTGATAGAAGTGTTTCCATTAAGAAATACTCCAGTGGATACAAATTGGTTAAAAGACAGATAAACCTCAGTAGTATCTGTGGAACAAACCTGTGGCACAGTGCTGGTGCAGCATGAGACAGGCATGATGTGTATTAGAAGAAAGGCTGTTTAGTGTCTTTCCATTGCTCAGCTTGAACTCAGAATAGAAATATGGGTCAAGACCTCAAATTTGGGAAATGAGCATCTATACAGGCATTGTAAAAAACATACTACTGCTGAATCCAGTGTTATTTCAGGTTACAGGCTGATCGCAGATATCAGTGTCCACATCCACTGCTATTGCAGGCAGTGGGAGCTCTTCTCTTGACTTAATACTACAGGCTATAAGGTTCCATGAAAAGTTTGGTTTCATTCTCCATCATTGCCTTCCACAAAATAATTTCTGGCTTATGATGCTTTAGTCCACCCTTCTGTATGCATTATTTCAAACTCTTGGCATTTCTTGTATTAATGCATGACTTAATAAGCCTTATTAAAGCATGGAAAGACAACTTTAACATTCCTAAAATTAGGGAGCTGCCTGAATTTGAAATGGCTTAGAACAATAGGACAGCAAACTAAAATTTTGCCTCTGAACTCCCTAGGTCAATAGGTGTCCAAGTGTAAAGCCTCATAGGAATCATCTATCTTCAGGAAACAGGCAGCATAAAGACAAAGGAGGATCTTTTTCTGTGCTGCTTTAACAATGAGTGAGAACACAACTGAGATTTGGCTTTTAAAAAATCTGCTGATTTAATAGGACAGAGCCTTTCTGAAACAGAAGCTACATGAACCCTCTTCACCTTTCCCTTTTGCTCAGTTCTTAAAGGAAGTTGAAAGCTCACCTGTTTTTGTACATGGTAAGGATATATTTTACCAAATAGCAACTTAGGCATTTTGCAACATGCTTATTCCTGGGGTCGACGTAAGCTTCTGAGAAACAAGGCTGCCATGGAAAACTGGAAGACTCACAGGGACTGTAGGCTGCATCTTTGGAAAGTGTTGCCATGGTTGCGATGGAGTGAACCTATCCCTGCCTCTGGTTCTGCCATAAAACTTGGAGTGGTGATGAGGTGTATGTTTCAACCAGCCAAACTAGGGGCACAAGGGAGTAGAAACAGGAATATAACTGCAGAGAGATTCAGGCAGTCAATGGAAGGGTACCCCAAACTGTGACACTGACAACGCAGCCTCTTGAGAAAGAACGGCCATTCCTCTGAAACCACATGGCAAGTATCTCCTGAAAGGTGAAGAGCATGTGCATGAGTGTGTGTGTGCAGGTGGGGATTGTTACCCTGCCTGTGACAAGGTAAGGAGTCAAAACTGTTAAGACATGGATGAATGTTGCCATCGTAAAAAAACCGTGAGGGAAATTTTGCTTATTAGGTATGGAAAGATGTAACAGGCTACTTGTCAGTGATGGAGAACTAAGATAAGACAAAGTAAACCTCTGCAAACAATCATCTGTTCCACTTGTAGATTCCGCATGGAAATATCTGAGAAAAAAAATTGAGAAAAAAACTCCGGAAGCTCTCTCCCATGCCAAACTGTGAAAAGCTATACACAGCTAGAGAAAATGGCCCTTGTCCTAGTACAACACAGCTTTCTACTGAATTACTAACCTGTAAAAATCAGAAATGACTTATTTTTACAGAGAAGTAATAATCCAGACAGAATCATATACTCAGCTACCAGAACTACACTCCCTCAAAGCAACAAAGAATAGATACACACCTTGATTTTGCAGAGAAAAACTCTGAATGCCTGTGCGAGTGTGTCACAGTTGTAAGTGTAAATAGTGTAAGCAGTAAGTAATAACACTTATTTATCTCAACTTAAAATATATTTGAGACCTCCAAGCAGAGAAGTAAGGGCTTGTGTAAGCTGCACAAATCCATTTATCCCTGTCTCATATTAAGTAAGGCCAGACTATAAAGAATCAGGGATGCAAGTATTGAGAGAGCTAAAATAAAACAATACCAATGATGGTCATAATAATACATTTATGTTTCTTCTCTTTTTGGTTCCAGAGCTGCTACAGCACATTAAGTTTCTGCTGCAAATAAAAGGACCAGAAACAGACTTTTTTTCCTTTCAGATGAAAGCCAAAATTCTTCCTTGACTTGGGGAACTGGAGCTTTAAAGAATTTCTACCACAGAACATCAGCATCACAAAAAAAACATGAGAGCTGACAACATGGTATTACAAGAAGTACATTTATGAAATAAGTAAAAATTGCACACCAGTGCAAATTGCAGCTACACCTTTCTCAAAAAGAGCCACACACTCGGGCAGAACTCCAAGTAAGATGTGTACTTGTCAATTAGTGGATGAAATTTAGTATGTAAAGGAAGACGTATTGCACACAAGCGAAAATGGCTCAGGGAAGGGTAACATGGAAGGATATAGGCTCTTCAGGAAGGACAGGCAAGGAAGACAATGAAGGGGTGTCACCCTTTATGTCAGTGGCCAGCTGGGGCATGCACAACTCTGCCTAGGGATGGATGAGGAGCCAACCCAGAGCTTATGGGTCAGGACAAGGGATATTACAGTGGAGGTCTCTGACAGGCTATTGAACATGGAAGACTGAGGGATGAGGCTCTCTATAGACAGACAGGTTCACAGACCCTGGTCCTCATGGGGAACTTCAACCACTCCTGTATGTGTTGGAGGGACAACACAGCAGTGCAGAAGCAATCCAAGAGGTTCCTGGAATGCATTGATAATAACTTCATTCTCCAAGTGATAGAGGAACCAATGGGGACAGGGGCCATGCTGGACCCTATCCTTACCAACAAGGAGGGGCTAGTGGGGAATATGAAGCTCAAGGGCAGCCTTGGCCGCAGTGACCACAAAATGAGTTTGAGATCCTTAGGACCATGAGGAGAGAGCACAGCAAACTCACTACCCTGGACTTCAGGAGAGCATACTTTGGCCTCTTGAGGGATCTGCTTGGTAGAGTACCATGGGATATAGCCCTGGAAGGAAGAGGGGCTCAAGAAAGCTGGTTAATATTCAGGGATCACTTCCTTCAAGATCAGGAGTGATGCATCCCAACAAAGAGGAAGTCAGGCAAGAAGGCCAGGAGGCCTGTGTGGATGAACGAAGAGCTCCTGGACAAAGCCAAACACAAAAAGGAAGCCTCTAGAAGGTGGAACGAAGGGCAGGTGTCCTGGGAGAAATACAGAGAAGCTATCCGAGCAGCCAGGGATCAGGCTAGGAATGCTAAAGCCCTGACAATTAAATCTGGACAGGGATACCAAGGACATATGGATAAGATTCTATAGGTACACTGGGGATAAAAGGAAGCCTAGGGGAAATGTGGGCCCTTCGTAAGGAAACGGGTGACCTGGTTACCTGGGATGTGGAAAAGGCTGAGGTACTCAGTGACTTTCTTGCCTCATCTTTGCCAGCAAGTGCTCTGACCACAAAGCCTGAATCACAGAAAGCATAGGCAGGACTGGGAGAATGAAGAGCCACCTTCTGCAGTAGATCAGGTTTGAGACCTTCTAAAGAACCTGAAGGTGCACAAGTCCATGGGACCTGCTGAGATGCATGCGCAGGTCCTGAGGGAACTGGCAGATGAAGTTGTCAAGCCATTATCCATCATATTTGAGAAGTCCTAGAAGTCTGGTGAAGTTCCCACTCACTGGAAAAGGAAAACCCATTTTTAAAAAGGGAAAAAAGGAAGACCTGGGGACCCACAGGCTGCTCAGTCTCACCACAGTGCTTGGCAGGATCATGGACTAGGTCCAAGTGGAGACTATGCTAAGGCACATGGACATTAAGGACATGATTGCTGACAGCCAACATGGCTTCACTAAAGGTAAATTGTGCCTGACAAATTTGATGGCCTTCTACAACAGGGTTATGGCATTGGTGGATAAAGGAACAGTGACTGATGTAATATGTGGATTTATGCAAACTCTTTGACACTGTCCTGCACGGCATCTTTGTCTCTAACCTGGAGAGACAAGGACTTGAGTGGTAGTGGTGACTACTGATGAACAGCTTTTGGCTGGCTCACCTGAAACCCTGCAAGCAGAATGTATACAGATCTCCTTGGCTCCATCAAGACAGGCTGGTTTGTGCACAATCCCAAATCCTCACAGGCTCAGGCCAGTTTCACAGCATTTAGGAGAACACTTGCATGTATTTTCGGAAAGGAGCTCATGGCTTAAAACGGCACGTACTGCCTCACCCCCCCTGTCCCAAGAGAAGGTCTGTGGGATAGTATCTGAAGGGGGCTGTGCAATGGGGGACTGCTGTCCTTTGGTACTCAGCAGTCCTCAAGCCAGCAATGCCCAGCCTGCCCACGGGCAGTCTGTTCAGATTCTATACACAGCACAAAATAGAGATTCCTCTGTTCACTTTTAAAACTTCCTGGCAATTACTTCTGAACCTAGAAAGCGTTCCTAACTCGGGGGTGCTGAACACAGGTGAGGGGAGCGAAGGATTCCTGCCAGTGAGGGAGCCCCACGAGGGGCTGAGCGGGAGAAGATGCAGCCCTGACTCAGCCGTGACTTTCCGAGGTGGCAGGCGGGCCGCAGGAGGGTGCGTGCCTCCCTTTAACCGGCGGAGCGTGCTTTCCCCCGGACACCTCCTCCTTCCTCCCCACGGCACCGCGGAAGCTGGCGGTGAGCGCCCTCCTCCGCGCCCCGGCGCGGTGCCGCGCTCCGTGAGGATCCAGGCCGGGCTTTGCGCGCAGCCAGGCCCCTCGCCGGCGGGGCCGCTCTCCCCGCTGCAGGCCGCAGCGCGGCCGCGGGAGGCGGGGGCCCAGCGGTCACAGCCTGCCCCTCACGGCAGGCCGCGGCAGCGCCGACCCCCAGTCCTTGGGGCTGGCGGGGCCCTGAGTGGGGCAGCGAGAGCCCCACGGGAGCCGGGGCACGGGGACTATTTTCTGTGGCCGCATCCCCGCGGAGGCCGCGGTAACGAGCAACATTCTTGAGCTAGAGCCTTATCCCCTCTCCCTGCCCGCCGGCTGTTCCGCCCCCTCCCTCCCCTGCTCGCCGTCTGCGGGGCAGCGGGGAGCTGACCGGCCCGGGCGAGGGCGCCCGGAGTTGGAAGGGTCGTGTGTTTCGGCCCGTGGGCTGTCGGCGTATACTGTATCCCAGAGACGTGCCATGCGGGAGGGAGGGAGGGAGGGGGTGGGTATGGGGATCTGCCCGCGACTGCTCCACGTGCATCAGTAGTTGTCAGTAGAATCAAACTGACGTCATCCTCGGGTAAAAAGATCTCTCTTTTGTTCTCATTCCCTCCCACCGCTCCTTCCCCCGCCCCCCCCAGCCTGAAAATGAAAAGCAAGAACATTTGCAAAAAATAAAAAGAATTCCTCTCCCCCACGTTAATTGCAATGCAAAGGGAGAGCTTGCGTTAAAGATCCTGCTTGGGCTGTGCTACGTTTTAATGAATGCATCGAGCCTTTTGATCTCCGTGAGTCAGTTGGGTTCAGTTGTGCCGGAAGGTTAGTTGCATATCCTGGCTGATCTGAAATTCGATCAGCAGAGGGGGCAAAGAAAAAGAAAAGCGTTTTAAAGCGAATCAATAGAGGATCATAGGGTCCTGGAAGGAGATAGGTGTTGATTAAAAATGCTGTGTGGTTGGGGTTCGGTTTGTTTTGTTTGTTTGTTTTTTGTTTTGTTTTTTTTTTTATGTACAAGACTTGTTTAAAAATAAATGAACACCAAAAGCAGCCCGGCAGAAACGAGGGCGGGCAAGCTGGAAAACAGCTTTCCCAATCACCGGTGTGTTTGTGTTCCAGGGAGGCAGTCAGCAGACCAAGAGTTTGTGCAATGCTTCAAGCTACAGCGCGCAAATTTAAAGCAGTAGGCTCCAAAGGGTGACACAGATTCTTACTGCGCTGCATTTCTCGGCCTGCGCTGTTTACTCGCGCGTTACTAAATAAGCCCAAAACACTGGCCCCCCTCCGCAAAAGCAAATTTACCCCCCGCCCCCCAGCTTTTCCTTCCTTGCCGCCGAGCCACAGGGATTCATGATACCCGACACGAAGGGGCAAACCTGTTTTGTTGCAGTCACACGTTTTTAAAGCTAAACTTTCCATGCACGTTTTCACTGTTTAAGAAATACGGAGCTGGAAGGTTCTGCATACATTGCTGGACTTTAGGTGAGAAAGAGGGAATTACAATAGTGTTGAACAGTTTTTTGCTAAGGAGGTGACTCAACTGCCTACACAAAGACTTGAATCACCCGCCCTGCACATCACAATAAAATCTGGCCTCTCCTCTATGCTTGTGCTCGTGTACACGTGCACACGCACAAGTGGGGATTGCAGTTGAAGAGTAAGGAGGAGAGCCACCACCCGTAAGGCTGAACGTTCCTGGGAGGAGTATCTGTTGGCTGGCATCATAGAAGGGGGGCATTGCTGGTCCAGGGTTCTCATGTTTTTATCCAAATGGGAAACCTTCCTATCAGTTCAAGTTTCTCATTGAGTTATCATTTCTTCTGTTGTTGCCTTCTGGCAGGGCTCACCCTAGCTGCTGCTAAAGACTTCTCCAGCTTAATTCAGAACCGTTGCTGTTAATTGTGTTACAGTAGCATCTACACGGTCCCATGCAGAGTACGAACCACAGTACCAGCTTCGTGCAGATACTCATTGACAGGCAGCTTTTCAAATGGTGAGACAGAGTGGGAAGGTGCACGGATGGTTTGTTTAAGGCTGTGGAGGTCTCCTGACTCCCAGGTAAATGTAGGCTATATTGTCTCACCATGTGGTGTCTGAACATCCTTATCAGCAGCTGAATTACAGTAGCAGTGATGATTTCCATCCTGAATAAGAAAAAGGAATAACTTTTTTTCTAGCTTTATAGTTTTTGTCCAATGTTTATTTAAACAAAAATGTTTCGGGGCACATCTTTGTGTGTTCTGACAAATATCATAATTTCCCTCCATTTTAATGATTTATTTACACCACTGGGAGATCTGGTCATTTTAAAATAGTTTTTTTCTCTAGAGGAATGAAACATGGGTACCAGAGCCAGGCTTGGCATTGAGAGATATGTGTATGGTATCAATGAGTTTGCATGATGTCCTTTCTTTTGTGTCTGACAGGACACACCAAAAAGGTCCTAACAACCCTGCTTTAGGGATTGAATTTTTTTTTCATTGGATTTTTAATTGTTTGTCCATATATATTAATTAATCTTTATTTTGGCAGTCTTTGGAGAAAACTGGTGGAAAGGCAGTGTTAGACAGCAGGACAGCTTGAGGATGACTGTTTTGTAACTGTATGAGGATTTCTTCTATTAGATGTAATTTATTTTGAAATGATGATGACAACAATAATAAATTCTCTTGTTTCTGCAAGACAAACTGCAATAGAATACAGGATGTACTGAGCTGCCATTGTCACTATCCTGCAAACACATGGAAGACAACAGAAGGTCACGTATCTAAATTAGCTCTTCCAGGTTTGTGCTCATGGAAGGTACCAGATTAATAGCCTAGGAGAACGAAGAGCTCCTTTTTTTCTCAGAACAGGTACAGGGATCTTTCCCACACCTTACCTTACTCTTCACTGCCTCAAACCATTTTTGGGATAGACCACAATTACACCCGGAACCTGCATAGACTTGTGTGCTTAAATATATTTGTAGAGCTAAGTCATTAGTACTAAGAAGCTGTGGAGTCCTGGGTGGCTGCGGAGGCTGAGCTATCTGCTGAGAATGCTAAGAAAGTTGTGAATTATTCAATTTTTATGTGGATACTTGTGAAGTACCACTGGAACATTTCATATAAGACAACAAACACTCAGCAGATTACCTGCTTCCATCCTGGTCTAGATTTGGTCTATGAATGAATGGCTCTCAAGCCCTTAAAAATGCCCTGGGCAAGCCTGACCTATTATTTCCACCACTGTTTTTTCATCCAGATGCCACAGGGATGAACACAATGTGTGGAGAAAATGAAAATCAAATTGCCTACCAAGAGCTGACCATATGGGGCAGCTGGTTGCTGCTTCCCAGCCCCCTGCCTGATATCTCTTCCCTGCCTCTGATGATGTGATACTGAGTGCTAGTCAGTCTCTGTCACCCCTTCCAAATCTGTTTTTATGCTGCATACAAGAACATTTCTTCAGGTTTTATATTTTCTGAGAATGTATCTTCATTTTCCTATGGTTTCCTTGGGCCTCTGCAGGCTACAGCTCTTTGTTTGGTGTGCCCTTCCATTGTTCCTCCTCCTTCCCCCCTCCCCTCTTCTGGTCTCTGGAATGTGAACACTGGGCCTAGAAATAAGGAAAGGAGGCCAAGAGGAAAACGTGTCTCGCTGAGGCTTGCCAGATACCCAAGTTGCATGTGGAGAGACAGTTTCAGCTTAAGTCTGGCTCAGACAGGAGCATAGACCATTAAACATCCCGTTGCCTGTCTTGCACCAGGCAGACAGCACAACTCTTCATGCTGACACCTGGAGGGGCTGGAAGGGCTGGAGGAGCAGAGAGTTACTGCTGTGCTGAACTGAGGTGGATCTGGTGGGTTAGTTTTGCTGTCTGTGCCCAGGGATGCATTTTATGTTGCACATTAAGAATGAGGACACTGGGAGGAGGAGAGGTGTCTGCAATCAAATACTATCACCTACTCAGGCAGAGCCCGGCAGTGCAGGTTTCCTCCTCTCAGCTTATCTGCTTGGAGTGTCTGGCCCTTGGTTTCTGCAGGGTTCTGCAACAGTGATGTGTGGTAAGTTATTATTATTATTATTATTTGCTTGTTGCTTCATGGCAATTCACATGGGCCAGTAAAAACTGGGTCCCGCCGTGCTTGGCACCGTGAAAACTGCGGTACTGTGTCCTGCCACCCAAAGAATTTAGTCTAAACAGACAAGGCAGGCAAGGGCATGAGGCAGAAGCATACAGAAAAAAACACCAACCACCAAACAAAAAACCCTGTGCTTTGACTTGCAGACTGTCTGTTTTCTGACAGTTCCAGAAAAGAGTATGGCTTACAGTGCCTGTGTTGCTAGATAAAAACACCCTCCTCCCCCAGGCAAATTAACAAAAACTAACAGAAAAAACGCCGAGGTGTGGCTGCCACAGTACCTTAGCACATTTAGCTGTGCTTCATTGTTCTCAGTCATTGTTCTCAGAGCATGGAGCACACAGATTGTGTAATACCTCTGACTATTCTGGGACACCTAGGTTAGCACATTACTCACAGTGGGGTGAAGGAGGAGCTCTGCAGTAGCTTTGGCTTGAGAATGCTTTACTTCTCTTGGTTTGTGTCCTGACTT